AAAGAGTGTGGGATAAAGCAGAGGATTAGCTTTGAAAGCATTTGATAAATCTGTGAGTGAGTGAGAGACTGAGAGAAAAGGGACTAATTAAAGTGTGAATGTAATGAGAGTTAAGTGATAGAGCAGGAAGAATTGTAGGTTTTGGTTACATTTCCAATCAATTTTAAATTTCTGTTGAAGAATAGTTCTGGATGATGGGGAACAGGATATGGCATGTCAAAGAGAAGGATGGATGAAGTTTATTAGAGTAAAGGAATTCAAGGAAGCTTGAAATAACTTCAGATGTGATGATCTCATGTGGAAATAAACCCTTGATGAAGAGTTGGGATCCCCTTGTTTCAATTCAGAGCTGCTAAGGAGTCCCTAGATATGTCCTGTTTTTTTCTTTTCTTTTTTCTTTCTTTCTCCTCCCCCCCACTGCCCCCACCCCGCCATGTGCTATAAACTAGGAACTGGCTCTATTAAATTGATGCTAAGTCAGATGTGGTTAGCTTCAGTTAGGCAGCAAATTCCCGTGGTAGCAAGCTTCATTCCCAGGCTATAACGGTGTTTGTAATAAAAATGAGAGAACTTGGGACTTCCCTGGTGGTCCAGTAGCTAAGGCTCCATGCTCCCAGTGCAGGGGGCCCGGGTTCAATCCCTGGTCAGGGAACTAGATCCCACAATATGCAACTAAAGATTCCACAGGATGCAACTAAAAATTCCACAAGGTGCAACTAAAGCTCCCACAAGACGCAACTAAATATCCCACAAGACGCAACTAAAGAAGCTGCATGCCGCAACTAAAAGATCCCTCATGCTGCAACGAAGATCCTGCGTGCCACAACTAAGACCCAGTGCAGGCAAATAAATAAATATATTTTTTTAAACATAGAGAACTCTATAGTTCATCCTTACTAAAGGTAAAAATAGAAGATAGCAATTGATATGCTCTTATATTAAAAGAATATCTAAAGATATATTTTTGCCATGGAGATGTTTCACTTATTTTATTAGATTGAGATGAGTAGTCTTGTTTTTTAACAACGTTGTATGTACTGTTTCTCTTTTTAGCATCCCAATGTGTTCGTTGGTTAACCAGCATCTTAGTCTCCTAGCAAGAAAGTTTCCTGAAACTAAATTTGTTAAAGCCATTGTGAATAGCTGTATTCAACACTACCATGACAATTGTTTACCAACAATTTTTGTTTATAAAAATGGTCAGATAGAAGGCAAATTCATTGGAATTATAGAATGTGGAGGGATAAATCTCAAGCTAGAAGGTAATGATGTTACTTTTAAATTCATTTGTAAAAAAACTTCTATAAATTAACATATATCATGAAAGTTTATTTTCATAAAACATAAGGTTTTTCCTCTTATTTCTTATTTCCTCTTGCTTCTTTTTCTTCTTAGATGCCTCCAGATTAATTTTCCTACAGTAATATTATCATAACACGCATTTGCTTAAATCCTTAATGGTTCCTTGTTTCAAATAAGTTAAAAATTCAGAATCATATGCTTGAAACTTTCAGCCCATCTATACAATTATACTTCTCAGTGCTTCCTAGTTGCTGCTCCAGCCAGGCTGGTCTTCAACCACTACCCCAAATGCACTTAACTCATTTATCGCTTTATACTTTGTTTCATACTCTTTCC